TTGCGCGTAGGAGTCCGACACTGATTATAGACGCCGCGCGTGTGAACGGGCGCCACCGCCGTACGGTTCGCCGGCCGAAGAACGTCGAGCGTCCCGCGGGTGTGTTGGCGTCGCAACGGACACGGACAGATGGCGCCGCCCCGGGCATAATACGGGAAAACCGAAACGTTTCGGCGTAACGCGACGTTACGCGTGAAACCGTTTGTGAACCGATTCGCGGCGCGCCCGTCCGCCCGCAAATAGAAACAAGAAAAACAAACAACAACAAAACGAAACGGCCCGCGTCCCGGAACGCGTTCCGACGGAAACCCGACGGGACCGCGATGTCACGCGAACGATTGGCCCGTTTTCGGAACGCCGCGATCCGGCAGGGGGAGTGGGGGGGGGAACGAAAACGCCGGTGCCGCGGCCGCGGAAACGCCACGGGCCGGAACGCGGGGTGTACGGGAGCCGTTCAACTCGCGTCCGCCGCGCGCACGGGCGACGGATACACGGCGATCCCGGTTTCCGATCGCGGGCGACGGCGGGGCGACGCACGGGCGAATCCGCGCGAACGCGATTTCGGGGGCTCTCGCCGGCCAGGGGGCCGCTGCGCGTCGCGTACCGCACAGGGGCGGTCATTGGTACGCGCGGCGTCACGCTTGAACCTCGACTCGCGGCGAACCGAAACCGTATCGTCGACAGCGCATTTCATGTTGTACGTGGGGAAATCGGCCGAAACCCCGCGGTGTTCGACAGCGATTAACCAACGGAACCGCAAACGGGTTTCCCGGTTCTTCCTCCGGCTGTCAAACATTACCCGTTTCCCCTCGTGTGCCCCCGCGCCACCGTTCCGGGCTACTCGGCGCCGATCGGAACGGTCTCGTTTAGGGCCGTTTAAAACGGGACGGCGTGCGTCGATCGGTCTCTACGCTCCGGACGTCGCGAATAACCCGACGGATTCGCGGAAAACTTTATTTTCGCCGTTTTCTTTCGCCGTCACTCGTAGCCGTAAACCGCGAAACGTCCGTGAAAGACGGGGGGAAAAATACAACGCGTTTACCCGAGACGTCCACCGGTGTAGGCTACACGCCGGCGCGCGAACTCTCCGACACACCCGTCCGCCACAGTGGCCCGGACGGGTGTACCACCGAGCGCACGCGGCCGTACCAAAGCCATAGGCGCGCGTCGCGTCGTTCGAATTTTTTTTGTTTTTTAACGAAAACCAGTATTCCGCACACTCGTGCGCCGTGATTACAGACGTTCGGCGGCCCGATAAATTTCCCCGCTGCTCGAGACCTAACGCGACCCGCGCCGGAAAACCGGTAGTGTCCCGGGCGAACCGGCCGGACGCCGACCGTCCGTGGTCCGCTTGTAATTTATTAACACGGAATCGGCGCGTGTTATTATTTATTATTAACGGTCGGCGTGGGGTTTTTTTTTTTTTTTATCGTCGCAAATTACCATAACGGTCGGCCGTTTCAACGAGACATTTATCAGCTGCGGGGACAACGGCTTTCGCCCGCCGCTGTGCGAACATTTCGTGCGCATAACAAACGGTTTCTGAAAAGTCTCGAAACGAAATGCATTCGCGAACGGACGAAAATTTTCTCGACGAGACCCAATCGGTCCGTGCCCGAAATCTCGGGGGCAGTCTGGATTTACGGTAGTAAGCGTACCGGATGATTCTTTTACACGGAAAGTGTTAACATTTTTCGGTATCCGTTTTGTAGGAAATTCGAGAAACCGGCGGCTCTACGGTTTTACGCTTACGTTATTTTTCGCCGGTCTGATTGCCGGTGCTGAAACGACTACCATCTGAAAACGGCAACCCGCGTTGGAAATTTCACGAACAGACGGAATTGTCAGTCGAAATAAATGTCGGTGTTGAAATTTCTGATTTCCGTCGATCCGTTGACGGGATATTCCTATAAATTAATTTTGATTCGGAGGAGAGTGCGATTGCGGTGCGACGACACGGCACGCGGCGTTTTCAATAACGCACCGCGGGGTGATGGAATAAAAAACAAAAACAATAATAACGTAACATTTTAGAACCGTCCGTTACTCGAGTTTCCAAAATCGAAAACGGTCAATAATTTTTCGTAACGACGCGTTGTGCGCAAACGGGACCGACGGAATATTATTATTCGGTCCGTTTCGCGATCCGTGTCAACGCGTCCGCGGCCCGGACGCGATCTCGGCTTTCCGTGTTTTCGGCCGTACCGCCCGGCGGCGGCGGGAGGGAGGGAACAACCGCCGCGGTCGGATTCGTGTGCGAAAACGCGCGTCGCGAATGCCGTGCGCGACGCACAGCAATCGCGCGACCGGCGGTCGGTTCCGTACGGAGACGTTGTCCGCCGGGGAAAACCAAAGACGCCTGATCGTCTAAGGACCCGTTCGGTGCGGCTGTTGTCGCCGTACGCGCGGCGGACGTTGCGGCGTCGTGCGCGGCTGTCGCGCCGTTGTTCCGCGGTCGCGGTGCCCCCGCGTACGCGCAATATTATCGTTACCGTTGTCGTCGCTGTCGAACGGCCGGGCGGCCCGTTATCGGCTGTCCGGCGGAAAATCAAAAACCCGAACAACGGGCGCGTCGGCGAGCCGAACCGGCCGCGGCTCGTTGTACGCGCGACCGGCCGGTACCGCGGACCGGACGTGCCGGACGGCTATCCGCATTGTCCCGGGTACCCGGGCGCGCGCCCGGACGAAAACTTTGTAAACGGGGGTTACCGAAGGGGGGGTGGGAGGGGGTGACGACGTGCGCGCGCGGCGGTCGAACGTTACGTGGGGGGAGAGGGGGGGGAGTTGACGGACGAGGGATCTTTTCCTCTTCGACGCGTCCACGACGGCGGGATGTGTGCGTGTGCAATATGTATTTAAAAAAAAAAAAAAAATCAGAAAAAGAAAGGAAAAAAAGGCCGATACCGCTGCGGGTGGGCGTGCCGCTGTTTCGGTACGGACAAGTAGGGTACGGTGCAGGGTATGTTGCGGCGTTACACTGAGCCAGTGAAAACTGGCCGCGGTACATTAACATCGATTATCCGTCGATTTCTGTTAAACGTCACCCGTCGTCATAATAACGTACGGAATAGAAATTTGGTTACGTTATAAACAGACAAAAATTACTCATTTTTTTTTCAAATACACTAACGCGTTCGATATAAAAATTACTGTTAATATAAAAATAGTTTTTTTTTTTCTTTTATCCGTATTAATTCAATTATCCGTCACCCTCTCGGTGCCGTTGCGGACGGATAATCGAGATTTTACCGTACAAGTAAAATCAAAAAAATGATCTCCTCGACGCACCAACTAAAAATGCTACCGTAAGTATGCCCGTAAAGTTAACGATCGCGGCAAGATTTCTGTTCAAAAATTGTTTACAGACATAAAAAAAAAATTGACATTATCTACAGCAGAATAAGTTAAATAAATTAATTAATACTAAAAGGTCAGCCTCAGTCACCCACTGGCAAAAACGTTCGACCGCCACTGAACAGCACAACTATCAAACTATTCGACGGACCGAAACCTACAGGGTTTCGGAAAAAAATCTAGTGTAGGCCATGCCGAGCGGTTTACAGTGTTGGACGACCAATCGAATGATGAGTTACCGAGTATTTTTTCCATGGCCGAATATTTCTATTCGAGAATACTATAAAAACTAGTCTAATAGTTTTTCATAGCCGAATGGTTCGGTTGTGGAAGTAAATTTTCGATAGTTCGCCCGAGTTATTCGGCAGTGCCCGTCGCCAATAACTAATAAGCAATAATATTATAATATTATACCCCCGTGAACAATGTTTCGAATATTTACAAAAAAAAAAAAAAGATATGTAAATAATAATATTAATTACGGCGATGCGTACGCGGGCGTTCCGGAGAATAGGTCTTTAGGAAATAATAATTTTTTTTTTTTTTTTTTTTAATAATAATTACTGTTCGCAGAAAAACGGAATTTGTGAAAGCCTTTTGGCGGAATACGCTGGCGGCGCATAACTCTGAAACGGCGGATTACGGTGGTTTTTTTTCCCGATCGTGTTATAAGATAAGCGGTAGAACGAGCACAATACCTACGCTTTTTAAAACATCTTGAATAAAATATTGTAGTATACGAATACACATGTATACACATATATATTTTACGTTCATTAATAATTTATAATTATTTGTGCGGCTGTAAAATTTCATGTACAAATTAAAACGCATAAAGTCGGACGTATAATTCGTTGTAGGCGGATAGTCGGAAAGGTATAGGATTGTAATCATGGACGTGGCTACGGGGTGTGCAATTAAATTGTTGCAATTAAAAAAAAAAAAAAAGCTGTTAACTCGGTCAAACTTTTAGTTGACACAAATAATAAGTAGTATTTTTTCCCCTTGTGCAGCCATTTTAAATCAGAAATTGATAAAAAAAAAATAATAATAAAACAATAATAATAAAACCGTCGTATTTACATACAAAACATACAAATAGTTTCCACTATAAGAAATCGTCATCAGGTAACGGACAGAATACTAAAATATAAAGTTAATGATTGAATGTATAGACAAAGAAAAAACTGAGGCCCTTAGAGTCATGTGATTTAATCTCTTCAGGAATTTTTAATGATTCTAAGATTTTTTTCTAGTTTTTAGAGTTTTTTTTAGAGTCATTTTTCGCAGTTTCATTATTATTATACAACGCTGACGTAAACTGTTGCGATTAACACCAGACTTTGGGCCGAACGTACGAATAACGATAAATGCTGTTGAAATATGCTTTTTAAATTACAGGGAATTGCTAAATTCTTATTATGTCGACCGCCGCTATCTTGAATTTTCTGTTATCTCGACTACATTGAAATCCTCATTAAACTACAAATTACAACTAGCGTTTTACTCTCGATAACTGGATAAAAAATTAATCATTTCTCGCTATCTCGAGTACACAAATAACATTTTTATTACGGTTAAACAGACAATTATGCAGTGCGTTCAGTATAGTGATTGCGGTCGCGTAAGTACAATATAGTCGTGAAATGGAAAATAAGCGTAAATTAAATGCCCTTACAATTTCGGACAAAGTTCGTTTAATACGGTTAGTTGTAAAAGGTGACCGTAAAAGATGTGAAATCGCCAAAGAGTACGATATTCCACTAAATACATTATCGTCAATTATGAAACAAAAAGATAAATTGTTGATGTACAATAGTGGAAATATGAAAAAAATGAGGACCACTCCTTTTTTGGACATCGATAAATGCCTATTAAAATGGTTTACTCAGTTACAGCATAAAAGCATACCAGTAAGTGGAACAATTTTACTTAAAAAAGCTTACGAATATGCACAACGATTAGGACACACTAATTTTAAAGCTAGTAGTGGTTGGTTTACAAATTGGAAGAAAAGACATGATATAGTTTTACAAAAAGTTTGTGGGGAAAGTGCTTCAGCAGACAAACATTGTTGTTCAAATTAGATTAGAAATCTCCCAGACATTTTAGCAGGTTTTTCTCCTAATGATATTTTTAACATTAATGAAACGGGCCTGCTTTTCAAATGTTTACCGGATAAAACATTAATGTTTAAAGGTAAAAATTGTTCGGATAGAAAATATGGTAAAGAGCGCATTACAATTATGGTAGGAGCAAATATGTCTGGAACTGAAAAACTCAAACTGTTGGTCGTTGGTAAAACAACAAAGCCCAAGTGTTTGAAAGGAATTAAATCTTTACCAATCGACTATAAATCAAATAAAAAGGCTTGGATGACTTCGTCGATATTTAGTGAGTGGCTTTTACATTTTGACAGAAAAATGAAACTAGAAAATCGAAAAATTCTACTGTTCGTAGATAACAGTACAGGTCATAGTTATGATATTGAATTAAGTTCCGTCAAGGTACATTTTTTATCACCGAATAAAACATCTATACTTCAGCCAATGGACCAAGGCGTTATACAGAATTTCAAAATGTTTTGTAGAAAACAAATAATCATACGGTTAGCCGATAATATCGATAATAATGAATCGTTTTCTTTAAACATACTCGAAGCAATAAGAATGTCTGATAAAGCGTGGAGAAGTGTAACGCCACAGACTATAATGAATTGCTTTATAAAGGCCAGTTTTAAAGACGGTGTTGTAATTCCAACAGGTAACTCAAATATTCCTGATGATAAATGAAATTTCGTTGCCGATCATCTTAATTTAGACGACAGAATTTTTTCACATTATGTGTAAATGCACAACGATGTATCTGTGTGTGGAACATGGACAGATGACGAAATTTTATCAGAAATCATCGAAAATCCCAGCGAGAGTGAAGACGAACTACAAAGGGAAGAGGAAGTCGCTGTAGTTACAATTCAACAAGCTAAACACGCTTTAAGAACATTGAGACATTTTGTCGAGACCACTGCAAGTATGGAAGATGGCGCTTTTTCTGCATTGTCCAAATTAGAAGATCTCGTAGAAGATAGAAGTAATAAAAAACAAACTGTGATGACGGATTTAAAAACAAAAATATGAATTACAAATTAAATATTGTCGTTCATTAATATACATGTAATATACATTAGTGTTTTAAGTAGAGCTTACGTTTTGTTAGGGGTATTTAAAATACGCGGGTACACGGATGGACGTGTATTTAAGCAGACGTGTATCTAATAACACCCGCCGTTGTTACCATTGCGCAATCACGTCCACTGACGTAAAATACGAATACTCTGATTTAACACGACATAATTTTAATCAAATAAAATCATATGTCCACCATTTACAGTAAAAATTACATTGGTTAAAAGGTTTTTATTTTTTTTACATAAGACAATAATAATGTTTTTTTTTTAAATAAAACATTAAAAGTATAAAGAGTATCCGAATATACACGTACGTGACTATTATTAAGTAAACGAGTAATTTTAATTACACGTGCATTAATAAAATATACACGCGTATTATTAACTACACGGGTTTCATAACCTTACACGTGTACCCGTGTATTTAAATGCACGTGAAATCGTAAGCCCGATTTTTAAATATTCATATTATTTATTCCACATACCATTATTCTAATTTTTAAATTGTTTTATAATTTTAATAAAACTGAATATCTCGAACATTGTCCTATCTTCACCCGTTAAGAAGTCAGAAAACACATTTACCTTAACAATATATATATATATATAAAAAAATAATTAAGTGTATTTTTTTTTTACTTGTTAAACTGTAATAAATAAATTTTAAAATGCACTTTCTTTAGTATTTTTTGTGTTTTTTAAGTAATTGTTTACACTTTATACGTGCATATTTTACCATTTTTTTAGGTAGTTTAAATTCAACTTTCAATTTTAATAATATTATCAAAATGCGTTTTTCGGATAGTTTTAATAAGAGGGGAAAAATTTAATTTTTTAATTTTACACGGTCTTGTGAATGTCCGCCCCTTTGGTGGAGTTGTTGTTTGTGTCTATGACTTTCTATTCGATTAACGACAAGTTAAATGATAATCGGTTTAACGATTTCATTAACATTTGAATAATTTTCAAAATTATTATAAAAAACTAAACGATTCACTGGAAAAATGTCAGTTGTCACCTTTCGAATGAACGCCCACAATATAATGTTATGTTCGAAATTCCGTCATCGTAATATTTAGCTGGAAATTTACGGCCTTTCATTTTGTGTTTTTATAGTTTTTTATGGTTTTTTTTTTTTTTTTTTTAATATTCAAACATTATTAATTATTGTGCGAAGAAGCGCTAGTAGTTTTTATGTTTAAAAAAAAAAAAACTTTATTAATATTTTAGCAAAATCGTCGGTTAAACGAGTTCGTTTCGCGGAATTTTTTCCAGGGCTTTCGCAAACACTCGCCGTCAAACCCGGATAAAAATCCGTATCCCCGACGTTATAATGTTAACACGCACGTCGCTTTTGTTAGACCGTGAACGCTAAAAATTCGACTGATACGAATATTTGAATAAAATATTAATGTCGTGCGTGTATGCATAATATACGTCGCCGGAGCGGTATTTTTATTTTTCATATTATTATTACGATTTGTTATATTATTTTAGATTTTTTTTTTTTTTTTTTTTTTGTTATCGGTTATAAAATTCGAATAACGCGCCCCGCGTATTATAAAAATAAAAAAAATAAAAAACTGTTATTGTAATTTTTACGAGCAAAAATAACGTTTGGACCTAATGGACCTAACGAAAAGACGCATTGTACGTAACCACAGCGTACCGACCGGGATAATGTATTTTCGGGTTTGTGAGGGGGGAGTGGAAGGGTGCGGATTTATGCATTTCAAATATGTATCTCGGCGCATTTTATTTCTTTAGATGGGGTCATAAAAAGCAATAACAATCAAGGCCGGTTGAAAGTATTTAAATATAATTCTTTTTTAGTTAGATAATAATAATATACGTAACCAAGTCGGACGCAAGCCAGCAAAGTTCCCGGTTTCTAAACGTATTTTAAACAATCAACTACACAGGCCCGCGTACAATTTGTAGCGAAATCGGCAAACCAATACCCATATGAATATTGTTGTTGTGCCCGCGTGTAAAATCCTAAATTAATTAAACATCTTACTTTCTAAATAGTTGACCGGGCGTTTTTAAATTCATTAAGCATTACTTAAAAGTTAAAATATTATTATTATTTTTTAATAGTATCAATATACATTTCAATGAATAATGAACAATTTAAATGAAGATTGATAATAATAATAATGTACGGATAATATCGTCTATCCATATTCATCTGTCGCTTGTAACATTATTTATGTTATCTTGTAAGAATGTTTGTAACGATTGATAAAAGATAAACCTATAGGCCTCCGCACGAGTTCCACTCAGTAGGACCCAGTAACCGTTTGGTATTAAACATAAATAAATATAATCCACCTATCCAGGCACGTATACAAAAAAAAAAGAAATTCGGGGGGGGGGCGGGGGGTTCATAAAAAATGTACAATTATCAATATTTATAAAAAAAAATATAAATTTATATAAATAAATTACACGACTAATAATTTTCGAAGGAGGGGGGGTTGAACCCCACTTCCTCCTGTATACGTGCCTGCACCTATCAGTTAGGTCCTATCTTAGGGCTGGCGGTATTTGAATTTTTAATACCGGTTTTTTTTTCTCGGTTTTACCGGTAATAATATGGTACGAATAATTACCGAAAACGCCCTGTTGTTGAACTACCGTATTTTACACGTATTACATTAGTAATTTTAGTTTTAAGTAAGTATTTTTAACCGGTCGTGACGTCACTGTAATTTTAGATTTCGAGCGAAACGGAGAATGGATTGGTTTTGCTGGTATGCGTTTTTGTCTGTGAACAACTTTTCCACCAGAAATCTTGACTCAATTGAAAAATAACAAGAGATTTTTTGTCGAATTTCGTAATAAGTCGGCGAAGAAGAAAATCGATTTTCGTTTTTTTTTTCAATCTGTTTTTATAATAATTGTGAAAAACATCGAATAGACGTTTAGGTAAAACGGGATAAAGTTTAAAAAATTAATAATTTCTAAACGGTGTGTTTTTCTTTTTTTGTGATTCGATTGGGAAGCCGTAAAATCTCGGAATGTATTCGTTCGGATTGTATAATTCCGGAATCAAAGTGTATTTTCACGGAATGTAGAACTGTGGAAAAAGAAAATTTGTAAACCGTATAGTCACGGATCGTGAAAACCTGGAATCCGAAAACATGCAAAACGTATTTGTACGGATTGTTCGTTCCCGGATTGTGAACACTCGAATCGTAATATACCGGAAACCTTATAAACCCGGATTGTATGTTTTAAAAAAAGTATAGTCACGGACCGCATAATTCCGGAAAACAGGTTTTTTCGATCCGTAATTAAGAACTGGATTTCGTGGGAAAAAATATAGATAGTTACGCGTACCGTCGTTAGTCCCGATCGCTTATTAACAAACTCTGTACAGACTGTATCTATATTATAGAATCTATAAGACACTCGTTATCTCGGAAAATATTAACTTTTTTGGATTTTTTTTTTTTTTGACAACTTAAGAAATTAGTAGCTCAAAGGAGTTATATTTTGGTTTCCCTCATTTCGTGTTTTTGCGGTTGAAATAAATCCTTTTGATTTTCATAGTTTATGGTACTGCGTGAAGAATATTTAAAGCATTTTTTCTAACATAAAGACAATTTTCCGAGATGGCTTCTTCACCATACTCGGAATCTAAAATAAATAACGAAAATGCGTTACCTACTTTTAGTTTTTGATAACGATTAAGTAATGCCATTTGATCTAAGTAATGCAAATTGTTACGGATAGGACTCGTCAAAAGAATCGATTCCACGTTTCTGATTGATGAGTATTTTAATGGAGTCAAAGAAATGTACGCGAAATATCGTGATTTCGACAATTCGACATTTAAAAGAACTGTAAACAACTCAAAACAATAAAAAAAACTAAATCCCAAGATGACAAAAACTGTTATAACGTAAGTATTTTTAATAATTTGTTTTTTTTTTTTTTATGTTTTTCCCAGTTGTTAAGAAAACTAGAAGAGAAATTAATTTCTCAATCCATCAACTAGACAAAATATGCTACATATTATCTAAAAGTTCTTTGAAGAAATTGACCGTCGGTTAAAAAACATTAAACAATATCAACAAACAGACGCGGTTTTTCGAGAGACCGCTCAGCCAATTACCTTGCAGTGACTTCTGGATAACGTTTATAGGCCGAGAGACCCAACTCACAAAACCCAAAAATATCCGGGGTTCGATTCAATACTCCCGATTATAAAGAGGATATGTTACCTCTCGTATTCAAGGGCTAACGTACCAACGATTTTCTCGAAATTTTCGGGAAAATTAAATTTGATCAACTCGAAAATATTCAGATTCCCTTTCAAATACACGTACAAGTATAGTTGAATAACACTGTCAACAATATTATTTGTTGTATAATAAACGTATAACGTGTTTACTAAAAACCGTTTCGCTTTAAAACGGATTATGGACTTGTTTAAATTTCTAATTTTTTTTTTTTTTTTTTTTTTTGCGTTTATAATATTGAATAAATAAAATTAACGTTTCACAGTTTTAACGTTTTATTGCGGACATTTGATTTTTTAATAGTCCGGGTAGATCAGAGACAACTCTGTGCTGTTAGTTTTAACGTTACAATGGATCGGCCTGTTATTAAACTTCAAAATATTATCCGTACAGCGTTGGTGTTATTTTTTCGGTATTTCAAGATTTAAGAGAGAAACGAATAGACGAAATACCACAATGTTATGTGTTTCAATGACGTTCGTATAGCGTTTGAAAATTAAAATATGGAAAACAAAAAACGAAAAATAGCACCGACGTCGCGCAGCTGATAATGTTCTTATCGTGAAATTCGACGGCGGCACGGAAACTCTCCGCAGTGTTAAAAATGACAGCGCGAAATCCCCGCCGAACGTAAACCGGCAATTTCCCCCCCCGTCACGTTTTGTGAGACGGACGCAGTACGTCATCGAATCGTCGTCCC